TTATTTTTACCTACATTTTTCTCTTTGTAATTGAAAAAAAAACTCTATACATTTAAAAGAAATAAAAAACAACCACTCACGCATATTATCGATAATATTTTCACTAGGTATATGTTAGTTTAGTTATTTGATTTCATTAGTATTTTACTTCAATTGGTTAGATTATTTAATTAATGGTTTCGTCAATATTATAAAAAGAGTATTATTAATCAATAAAATAAACATATACAATTGTTAGTAAAAAATCGATACGATGATCTAAAAACAAAAGAAAGAAAATCGAACACTATACGATTGGTTAAAAAGTCGATAAATCGAAAAGATGGTTGGAGGACGCCCGGTGACCATAAGATGGTAAGAGCATATAAATTGAGAACGGAAATCGAAAAGCAGAAAAGAGAGATAATGATAAAGTCAAGGTTAAGGGAAATTGAACTCGATAACTGGAATCGAGATCGAGGGAAACGGTTATCATACAGATAGAACACGAAGAGTGGCCTTTCACATCGCGGCTGAAGTTGGAAATCGAGAGACGGTTATAATGCGTATTTTAACGTGGAAGCGGTTTTCTAAACCGTAAACTAAGGTAAAAAAATCGAGGAACGTGCACAAGGAACGTGGTGACAGTTTTTAAACTGCTATTGGGAGGTTACATTGAAGGATACCTATAAATAGAACAAAGCTTGAAGAAGAAGAGGGAAATTGGCAGAGACAATAGAGACCCAAGTGAAAAGTCTACCGGAGAACGACGAATCATGAAGTTTCTGGCGATCTGGATTTCCATTCTCATTGATTGTTTTTACCGCTTTCTTTACTTCCCCTGGTAACTTATGTTCATGCAATTTACTTTCCTGCAATTTATGTTTATCAACTTTAAGTTTCTGTTATTTCAATTCTTTGTCATTGTTATCTTTATGCAAGTTAAGATTCTGCGTTTTGCTATTTACACTTCTGCAATTTCAGTTTCCAGTTATTTACATTACTGCAATTTCGATTTCCTGCTATATTATTTTCACTTATTTTCGATTTCCGCCATTTACATCTCTTAATTTCAAGGTTTCTGCAGTTACATTTCTCTGTAATTTAATATTTTGTACTGCCTCTTATTTTCGATGCGTTTTACTGCTTCCTTCACTTCACGTTTCTTAATAAAAATATCAAAAAGACTACTTTCGATTGTCAATCTGTGTGACATATTGCATTTCTCGACACTATGGTATTCTCGATTCTCATACATGTTTCGATTGAAAACTGTTTGCTAGCTTAAGTAAAAGAATCTGCGTGGTTGAAATTTGATTAGAACCTAAGTCTCCGAGAAATTGAAATCGATCAAATTTTCACCAAAAACAAATTGGCGCGCCAAGTAGGGGGTCTCGTTACACAAATTTGGCTAGTTCGAAAGTGTATGAGATTAAGGAGTGGATGAGTAGTAAGAATGAGTCAAAATTCACCGAATAGTCAGAATAACAGTGAGATTCCAAATAATTTGAATCCACCAAACACTGGGGGGCAAGTTCACAATGGAACTATGCCTGTAATATCGACAATTATAAGTGCGTTGATACTTGTGAGTACTGACCAAAACCAAGGGACATTAGCAAATGCTCAGATAATAGGGTCTGGAACTGTAATGTCAAATACTATGCAAACCACGGGAAGTCCCGTAACAACATATGTAGGTCCGCATATGAGTGTAAGTCCGCCTGGTTTTTCGATTAATAATATGAACGGGGTTGGTACTTCTTCAATACAACGAAGTACGAGATTTAACCTAGGAATACCCCAAAACTTAGGAACAGGTCAAGCCTTAGGGATGCCTCAAAATTTTGGAGTATCCCCGAATTTAGAGGTGTCTCAAAATTTAGTAACACCTCAAAATCCAGGAGATGCGCAAAGTTTAGGAACACAACAGATGTCTCCGATTCCAAACCAGGATAATAGAACAAATCTAGACCATGGGAAGTATGCGTTCGATAGAGATTATCATCCATCCAATTTCGATGCTATTGGAAATGCTAGTACTGGAATTTCTAGTAATTCATTAGGAGTACTTCGACAACAAATGGATGAAAGCAATTTTGAGATGGTTAACATGTTGTCACAACAGTTGACCACAGTATTAAATCCATTAATTCAAAACGCTACTAATAGTTTTGAGATGTTAGCAGATCAAATGTCACGTATCGGGGATGCATTGGCAATACCTCAACAAATGAGGGTGGAAAATAATGCCAATCGGGATAATCAAAACTTCAACATTAATCCCCTTTATTTATTAAGGAGAAATCGAAATAATGATCAACATCAGCATGCGGGGAATGAATATCAGCATGTGAGGAATGATACTTATGGAAATCTAAATGAGGGATTCCAAAATATGTATAATCAAAATAACATGCAGTATAATCACATGCTGGGACCAAGGATGAATCCTCCAGGAGTGGAACTAAGACCACCCAATCAACCATACTTTGTTTCTCCTTTTCCAAATACAATTCTC